TCTCTCTCTCTCTCTCTCTCTCTCTCTCTCTCTCTCTCTCTCTCTCTCTGTGTGTTTCTCATTTGTTGCCCCCCCCCCCCTTTTTTTTTTTACCCTGCACAACTGTAATCAAAACCACAGACCTGAGGGCTGTGTGTGACTTTCCCATTTGTCTCTCTTGCCTTTTTCTTCTCTTTTTTTGCCATGCTGTTAAATGTAATATGTGAGCATTCACTCCTGATGTCCCCGAGTTCTTTTATCATCTTTCTTTTTACTCTCTTTTAATCAAATTGCTCTCTTGAATTTAGAAGTTTTTATATGAACTAGTAAAAGGATCAGCCCACAATGATTATAATGCAGCACTGACTTCTGCAGTGGCTCTTTTATTTGGGTCTAATGTACAATGTGAGTGCAAAACACTGTAAATCTCTACGACCGTTTTTACTCTTGAGCCAAATTCCACAACCATGCAGCTACTCAGTCTCCTTCTTTCTCTCCCTCACGCGTGTGCAACCACTGTGTTTCTCTTTCGCCTCCTGCAGGAGAAGGAGAAGAAGTACATGCTGCAGGTGGACAACCTGAAGCTGCGCGATGTGGATAAAAGCTTCATGTCCAGCAAGCAAATCTTTGCCCTCTTCAACACCGAACAGAGGTGTTATTACACACACGCGTGCACACGCACACACACACACACACACACACACCAATATCAATATACATACATACAGCAGATGCCTATTATTGATCACATAGTGCCAAGTAAAAATTACAAAGTATCTACCTGAAATAACAGTCCTATTTTTATTTTTTTAAAGTACCTGATGTATTAGCAACAAAGTGTGTTTGAAAGTAAAGAAAAGCATAAAGAAGCCAAACGATGTACCACTGGTATAAGGATATACAGTACCACAAGTGACACATTTGGGTTATAAAAGAATAACATATAAAAACATGAAGAGCATCATTCAGCATTGTGTGTCCACAGAAATGTGTATAAGGACTACCGTCAGCTGGAGCTGGCCTGTGAGACTCAGGAAGACCTAGATGCCTGGAAGGCCTCCTTCCTCAGAGCTGGAGTTTATCCTGAACGGGTCATGGTAAGATTTCCTCAAAGCATTTCTTTTATACATACATACAGTATATTAGTATATTACGGTATAGCATGTATAATAACTTGATATTCCTGTTTTAATCATTGGATTGATTGCGAGCAGTATGAAAACCATATACAAAAACACAATATATTATTAACCATGATTTTGTCCAAATCGCATAAAGGCTAATTATTGTTTTTACATGATTTGTTTATGTTTATTTTGAGTCTATTTATATGTTGTCATGTCTCTCATGTGATACTGTATCTGTCCTCTTTCAACATCTGTTTTCCTCATCGCTGTTTGACCTTATAGGATATAGGAAAGGTATGTTATTTTGGTCTGCATCCTGCATTTTCAGCACTTTTGTGTCTTTTATAACCTGTCTGTATGTTGTAGCTACAGTCTCCGTTTCTCTCTTTTCTTGCTGAAGCTGAACTGAAGTTGAACTCTATGTCCTCTGTCCTCCCTCCCTCCCTCGTCTCCACAGAGTGACGGCAGCGATGAAAATGGCTCCGACAACATAATGCACAGCATGGACCCTCAGCTGGAGCGGCAGGTGGAGACCATTCGTAACCTGGTCGACTCCTACATGGCCATCGTCAGCAAGACCGTGCGCGACTTGATGCCGAAGACCATCATGCACCTCATGATTAACAACGTGAGCTGACCATTTTTCAACTGTCAGCTCTTTCAGATGTATATATATATATATATATGTATATATATATATATATATATATACACACACACACACACAAGACTTTAACTTTCATCCCAAAACATCTCTGTCATTTCGTCCAGACTAAAGAGTTCATCAACGCAGAGCTGCTGGCCCAGCTGTACTCGTGCGGGGACCAGACCACACTGATGGAGGAGTCCCAGGAGCAGGCCCAGCACCGTGACGAGATGCTGCGGATGTACCACGCCCTGCGGGAGGCCCTCGGCATCATCGGCGACATCAGCACGTCCACCATAACCACCACCATGCCGCCTCCAGTGGATGACTCTTGGCTGCAGGTGCAGCGGGGCGGCTCCGGAGGAAGGTAAGGGGGCGATGGGAATAGACGGAGGATTGGAGGCTGTGTTGGGGAATGGATGGACGGAGGAGTCTTGAACTTATTTATACATGTTTTAAATTTGGATCACTATGAGCATGTCGGGTGGTTATCAGATTGGTTGCTTTATGTTTGTTAATGCCGTGCGTCATGTCTCCTCCAGGTCTCCAGCCACCAGTCCGACTCCAAACCGCAGGGCACCGCCGGGACCTCCGGGCCGCCCGGTCTCTCGTGGGCCTCCACCTGGGCCTCCTCCCGCTGGGGGACCCCCTGTCCCGTCTCGCCCGGGGGCTTCTCCGGACCCTTACGGTGGGCCACCGCCCACTGTGCCCTCGCGGCCTAACCGCGCACCCCCAAGTGTGCCAAGGTGAGTGAAAACATGAGAGGCCTTTCAAGCAAACAACCTTTCCTCACACCAAAACATATTTGAAACCTGTCAAAGTAGGTTTTTACTATCAAAACCATAGCTATCCAACCTGAAGTGTGGATACTCTCTGTTACTAAGGGAATAAAGGAGGTAAATGAAAGTGGAGAGCTTTGGTTGAGATAGATGAATAGAAGAATAGATTGATAGAGATCCCTTAATAGATGGATAGACAGTGATATAACTAATAACCAATGGATTATTGCCCTCCTTTTCTCTTGGTTACCTTTCTGCCACCACTCTGAACTTTAAACACACTAACACTCCACTATTCATCGCTTACACCCACCTCACCACTGTCCTCATCTGAATAGTTAAGAAACGTGTGCTTCAAAGCAAGTCGGTGACTGGAATGAGCGTTAGAGGGGGGTTTGTTTTCGGTTCTGCCTTGTGCTTGCCTGCGTTTGTGAGCTTTTTTATCTGGACCCGTTCATTGTCAGAGCAGCAGCTTGCTTCTCTTAAAGTAGCAGACACTAACGTTGCTGAGCAAAGCTCTCACTGGCAAACGCAGCCCTGAAAAAAGTTTAAACGGAGGAGCGTCTCAAACTCCTCACAAAACTCTGACTCCGAATCATCCGAGGAGAACTTGTTTGTTCTGGTGTGTCCTAAGTGAGAGCTGAGCACATGTGACATTGGTCATTTCCTGCACTGTAACTGTTTGCACTCCTTTTTTCTCTCTTCCTCCTCTTCAACCCCTCTTTTCCTCACCACACCTCTGTCCCACACATGACTATGCTTCCTCCTAAAGAATCACTATCACTGACCAATGAGGACTAACTTTGCTGGTACGTTGGGTACTATCCGCTATCATCATCGTCATCATCATGACCACTTTCCTTCTTTCTCTTCCTCTCAGCATCCTTTCACTGCATGCCATTTTCTTTTTCTCACTTTTCTTTTCTCTTCTCAGAGCGCTGCATGGGCAAACACACCCAGCTCAGAGGGTGTGTGTGTGTTTGCGTCAGTGTTTGAGCCGTTTCAATAATTCATTTATTGAAGGGGTGTCAGTGTGTGTTGAGATGTCTTGTGAAAGAAGACTTTTCTCAGATTACAGCAGGTTAGACAGGATTCGCCTGTCCGAAACCTAAAGATTATTGTTGTTTTTGTATCAGTGTTTGTGACGTACTTATGCCATGACATCCCACTCATCTCTAACTTTGTCTCCGAGTGTCTGACGTTGTCGTTTAAAGTCATCGCATCCGTCAATATTAGCATGTGTGCAGGTCGCTCTGCTCACTTCTCAACCAACCTTTTTTTTCCAGGGATATACAGGATTGTTTACATGTCCAGGCCTCTAAAAACAATTTAATCGAAATAATCCGAGTGGGGAACGTCACTCTTTGGTTGCACTACTTGCAACTTATAGACATATGCAACCTCTGAAAAGGTGTTTGTGAGTAGACATTAGTTTACTACATTTTAAGGGGTGACGAGCTAAAATGTGTAAGAAAACAGTTTAAAATAAGTATTTTTAAAGGAATAGTTTGTTCATTTTTGGTAAATATGCTTATTTGCTTTCTTGCTAAGAGTTAGATTAGAAGAGCAATACATATATGTACAGTAAATATGTAGCAACGTCAAACTCCTTTTAGAATTGTATTTAAGAAGATAACAACAAAGTTTATTATATAATGTGCATAAGTGCCTGCTACTGTACTTAGACAACACTTGGATATGAAGTTATTCTGCTTGGATTTGGCCTCTAATGCAAACATACATTACCTGCATTGTGGCCATGCCAACTGAGCCTTGTTTTTGGGGGTTTCCTTCCATGTGTTACCTCATGATATGAGTGGCTGTCTGTGTGAGTGAAGGTATTGTATTTATGTGCATGATTAACACATGGGGGGGGCCCTGAAATAACATGCAAGTATAAACCTCAACTTGAAGTTTAAATGGAGGCTGCGACCACATAGAAAACACTAATCCAACCTGTTCCCGTCCTCTCTTCTTTATATCTGTTTCTGTGCGTTTGCGTGTCCATGGCAGTCGGAGACCCCCACCTTCTCCAACCCACTAGACCTCTGAGCTCCTCCCTCCCTCCGTCCCACCTCTGGATGAGAGGCCATGGACAACAGTGCCACCTTCCTGTTGTTTTCTGCCACACCTGACCAAGCCGGCTCCCTTCTCCTGCTCCGAATTTTCCCTTACAACACACACACACACACACACACACACACACACACACACACACACACACACACACACACACACACACACACACACACACACACACACACAGAGATGCAGAATACTTGAAAACACACCTGCATGACTGACATATGAACATGCTGCCCCCTCAGAATTTAAATAAACTACGTAGATAACATAAAATAATTGGTACATTTTTGAGTGTATGCGCACATGTGCATGCACACTGCTTTAATAAATACACACATATATATACAGCATATTTATATACAAGCAAATACATACAGAATGTGTGTTCCTGCTGTTACACCTAACGTGGGAGCAAACTAAGCATGACACTCTGCCTGAGTATTACATTATACTCCAGCCTTTTTGATGGGTATTCTGGCTGCTGACTGACTTATATTAACTTTTGTTTGTTTCTTTTATGTCTTTTTTTTCCTGATTTCCTCACTAAAATGTTCGTGTCACTAACTCACCTTGTACTGCCGGTCATGTGTGAAGAAAACATTTTTTAATCAAACGTCTTCAGAGCAGAATTTAAAAAAAGAAATGATAGATAAAACTGGTTTTCACACATCAACTATGAAACAGACTGCACCTGGGAGGAGGGCTCGAACGAAATGAGGGGGGACATACAGACTCCTCGCCCTCATATACCTGAACACACATGAGATGCTGCTCTTCATTCTTTTTTTTTGTTCACCCTCCTCCTCCTCTTCTGTCTCCTCTTGCACTAGGACTGCAGCGATACATCATGGGGGACCTGTTGCAAAGGCCTCACTGTCACTAAATTCAACTGTTTTCTAACTTTCTTGTGTAATTGAATCAAATAGTTTGCTTTGTCAAAACCACCTCTCAAAAGCGCCGTTGTCTGTACTTCCACAGAACCTATGCAACAAAGAAAATAGTTTCCCAATTCTTTTATATATTTTTTGGGCTTAAAGAGGCGCCTCCCTTGCCACTTTTCCCAATTCCTCTCCTCTTAAAAAAACAAACATTGTCACTGTGCTATCTTACCGAGGCGGGATCTAAATAGAAAGTGCAATATATAGACTATCCTTCTGCAGACAGCTGCATGACACCAGTCCCACAAGAATCAGAGCACATGTTTCACCGAGAGGGAGGGAATACGTGGCCTGGGTTGCACCCTCAGGCTGTTAGATATCCTCTTATACATTCTAGCTATTCAGAGAGGAGGAGGTCCTTCATGGGAGTGTGTGTCCCTCAGTCCGCTTTCTACTTCATTATGCATCAAATCCTCTGATGTACTGACAGGAAAACCTTCAGCATTTTATCCAGGGTTATGATCTGGCATTTATTTTTTCCTCTCTTCTTTTCTTCCTTCTCTCAGTGGTCACGGGGGTGAGTGAGAACATGAAAACAGCCACAGTCTATGCATAAAACTATCAAAACGCTCCTCCTGTTTCACCCTCACATCGCTGTCCGAGAGCCTCGTCACCTGTTCAGTGTGTTGTATTTTGACCCCAAACAAAAATCCCCAACTCACCGTCCACAAAAAGCCCGTCTCTGCACCTCAACCGATGTCATTTTAGCCATTTAGAAACCACTTCTGTGACCCCTTGTGCATCTGAATTCTCCACAACTGCAACGCAAATACGACAAAGCATATTCGACCTATTATTTAAAAGTAAAAAGTTTATGATGGACATATCTTAATGTGTTACGATGTATATGTGTGGTGCCTCTTATGGGACTTGTACCTCCACTGTCTAGAGAATTTAGTCTGCTGAATATTTAAATTATTAAATAAACGAATATGTGTATAAGGAAATATTTGGAAAAAACGTATGGGATATTGGCAGGTTGTTTGCTACCAGTTAAAGTATCAGAGGGTTTTTCTTGTTTCTCTCCGTGTGTAAAAGAGCAGAACGGGACTGTGTGAATGTGTGAACACCTGCAGCAACCAGGTCCTGCATCTTGTTTAAAGTGCTGTGGAGGGAACAATGACTTCATCTTGCAGAACTGCTGTGCTTGGTCAACACATTAAAAACCTCAGTGTACTAAATGAAGTGTTCCCCTTTGTCTTCTTCTTCTCTTTATGGTGGTAAACAACAGAATACAGAAGAGCCTACAGCCGACTGATACCAAAGACATTTTTCTAGATTTTAGACGTTAATATCTCCGCAGTGGCTGAACAGATTGTTAGTCCATCTCCGTTCATTCGTTAGCAGTAAACAAACTACAGCTGAGGCTGATAGGAATGCAATTCTTTTTATAAGTTCTTCTAAAGCAAAGTTATGCTATTAAGTGCACAGTGGAACAAAGGCATGTGGAATATGTGTAGAGCTGAAAGAATCAATGTTCAGCTTCTTTTCTTTACTCTGGATCATCAGAAAGAACAAAATTGATTTATTTTACACAACTTTCTGATATTTATTAGATCAAACAACTCAATTAAGAAAAAACCCAGCAAATGAATCAATAATGTAAATGTCTACAACATCTAATGGAAAGTAATTAAGTTATGAAATGACTTGTTAAGAGTATGAATATGTGAAGGATGAATATTTTTCACAATGTCTCTATCAGGAATGTGAGTTTGAAATCCAAATCTACCAAACTAATAAGAAAATGTTTGTTAATATGCAAGATGGTTTAAAAATTGTCCCTCCTAAATACAAGTTTCTCTGTGAGTTTGCTATTTAGGTGAACACGAGTGAGCTAAGGAATAGGCCCGTCACAGTGAAAGAGACTAAATAATCAAATAAACGATGTCCGACCTCCATTTAGCTGCTTCCACTGCGGTGCATTCTGGCTCACTGTCACATGGAGCCATCGTTAGTGTTATTAGCAACACCTGTGCTTTTTCTAAGACCAAACCACCTGCTGCATCTCTGCTAGTTTGGATCCAAATAATGAAGAAACGGAGACACAATGCGTTCAAGTTGCTCAATCAGTTTTAATCAGAAGGGGAGAAAATATTACTCGAGGAAAAACAACAAATCAGAAAGCTTCTGTCAGAAGCAGCCCTCGAACCAATCAGTTCTCTGAAGGATCCTTCATTTCCATCCAAAAGTGACGTCTATTTTACAATAAAACTGATTAGTTGAGATACTAACGTATTCCAAATAAATAGAATAATTTCTCTTTTTTTTTTTTAGTCAATCTTTGTATTAAATCACAGCCAGTCAGTAACCGCCAACGACACACACGGTCCACACTGCCAGAGCAGCTTCCCCCCCCACCACACACCACACACCAGGCATAATGAATATACAATATGTTACACAGTTACAGTATATACACCCGCTTTACTTCTACAGTAAAGACAATAAATGCCTTCTCATTGCCATTTCTTTCATCGCGCAAAACATATTTAACAGTGACTCAGAGAGGGTGGGACGTCATTTCACCCACATCGTCTTAAATGTTATCTTACAAGCCCCGAAATCACCAAAAGGATTTTATTGGATATTCAACTCTTGGTCTAACCCCAAAAAAAACAAAATGAAGGAAGAAAAATAAATCATATTTTGTGGCATTTTTCAAAAGGAAAACCCAAAAGTGAGAGAATGCTAAGAAGTGAGGAATATTTGAAATCAAGAATGATTAAAGTAAATGTATTCAAAGCGTTGTGGTTTAATGTAGAGGCTGCACTGTCTACACCTGTAAATTACACATACGGCCTCCACCCGTTACATTTTCCTTTCCTTTAAAATGCCAGAATGTGCACTAATGCGTTCTGCATTTAGTGATAAATATCAAGTGTGCTATTTAACAAGTGAACAAATGTGTCCTCTACCTCAAAGTAAACACAACAGAGAGGATCTTAAAATCCAAAGACATCCAAATGAGGTTAATATACCTCAAAAAAACAAAATCAGTCACTGAGAGTTTGGTATGACCCGCATGTCCTTGCATATTAAAATCATGGGAAGACTCTTAAAAACCAGAGGCCTCTGTCGTGATTTAATCTGAAATGAAAGGTAAAGGAGCTGCGATAGCGTAGCTCGTGGGTGCTAGTTGTAAAGGGGAAGAAGGCTCTATAGTGAAGTCAGTCCATCCGCCAATCTACATTTGTGACTATGAGCATCTCTGTTCATTTTTTCAAATTGTGACTGGTCCCATACCTTTGGGATTTCACCTTCTATTCATATTTACAATTCATCCTCCGAGTGCAACACTGCGCACACACACACACACTCAATTAAATTAATTCGCTTCAACTGGAACCCTCAGCTTCAGACCGGGGCTTCATAGGATTCCCCCTTTTCCTCCACAGGGATCAGTGAGCTGCAGGTAAGGGGCCGAACGAGAGGCTTCGTACAGTTTTAGTGCAATCATACTTATATCATCTGATAGAGGTCTACAAGAAGTACAACAGACAACGGTTTGGATCACACACACACACGTAAACTCACACAGTCCAGTCGTAAAGGATGTGCATTTAATTCATCTTTGATAAGTGGAAACATAAGCAAACGTAACAGAAGAGAACAGGCTCTTATCTTAATAGTGTCAGTTTGTGGAGCAACAAATAGAGTGTGGACATTTGAGATGAGGCCAGCCAAATGCCTCAGGTTAGAGAGTATTTGAAGAAGAGCGATGACTTACGGGTGCGTTTTAACACCATACTTCCTGTAACTTCCTCCAGAGTATCTACGCGGCCAATGACAAACACAGAGAAAACAATAAAGTGGGAAGCAGCCCAAAGCTCTATCATTTATCAGAATTACACTCTGAAAATAATGTCTCAATAACTTTGACTAAAATAGGTTTTCGTGGAATCTATTAAATTGCATCTATCCCCTCAAGGACTTTAGAAACCACCTTTTCATAGCGGCGGTGACTCCTCTCAGTCTAACAGGATGTTTGACATCACAACACAGTTGTTTCACACATATTAACGCTTCACATTGTACAAAAATTAGACTTATTTTCAGTGTTTGGAGGAAAAAGACAAAAGGATATTTTAGGAACAGAACCAATCTACGACACCTGCCTCCGTCTCCCTGAATCTTATCACGTAACTCGCAAACTCTCGACTTTGAAACGGAGCAGCGCCTACAGTTCAGAGGCTGGTACGTGCTCTCAAGTTTCTCTCGCCGACTTAAACTTACATCGTCCTCTGCACCTCTTCCCCTCGTGTGCCCATCCACCATCGTCCCTTCTCCTCACATTACACAAACAAACGGGTAGATATTCGGGTTATTACATTCAAACGCGATGCTGTTATTTGGCATTTGTACAGTTAATTGTGTAAAAACTGAGATTCTGCGCCGAAGTCACACACGTTTTTTGACAGCTCTTGTAGTAATGTATCAGCAAGGGTTCAGAATATATATATATATATATGGACCCTTTATTGCACTTATGTGTAAGATGGGAGACGAGTGATTAAAAATGGTGGCATGGAGAATAATCGGATTGCGCTAAGATATACCGGTTCTCTCTCTCATAAATAAAGAACCACATAAAACAAAAAAATACATAATACACTCCTTTTAACTATGCACACAGAGCAGAGAGGAGAGGGGGGGGGGGGCATTTAAATGTAACTGGGTCAAAGACATTCAGATAACTGTGACTAGTGTCATATTTCTTGAAAAGTGTTTGTGAATATGATCCAACAAGCTACAAACACGGTGTACTGTAATATTCCCCAGACTTCAAGACATGTCCACTATCTCATATACATACACACTGGACGACACGCCCAGCCGCAGTCACGCCTCACACCACCAGGATCTTGACTTCGTCCTGTTCGTCAGGCCGGTAGAAGAAGGGGATGCAGGGGTTCTCCCCGAGGAAAGGGGGCGATCTCAGGGCTCCCTGGGGGTTCTGGATCTCCTGGAGCAGCTGCATGATCTGCTGGGCGGTGCCGTCTTCGTTGGGCCCCGGGGGCCTGGAGTCACTCTGGGCTGACCCGCTCGACAGCGCCTGTGACGAGGGGGCTTCCAGGCCTGTGGTGGGCTCTGACAAAGGAATGATCTCCATATCTTCTGCAGCAGAGAGAGAGAGAGAGAGAAACAGCATGGTGAAGTTATATTGAATATGAAAAAGACACAATTTAAAAAGGCACAAGTGTCATTTTTACTGGTTGTGCCTACCTGCTCCACTGACAGCATTAAGGTGTGCGTGGTGCTCTGGGTGAGTGTGATCCTCCCCCACAGGAAGCAGGTCGGAGTTCACCGTGCCTGCGCCGGCTACAGCTCCGGTGTAGCGGCTGTACCAGTCGTTCCTCTCGGCCACCAGCCTCATCACCAGATCCTGCAGCTCCGACAGCTTCGCCTAACGGGCGACGGAGAAACAACGACAGAAAATTGAGCAAAAACATGCATCATGACAAACATCGCATGGAAGTACAATGGACTGCGTTGATGGTTATTTTCAAAAGAAAAAAAAAGGTTGCTGTGCAGTACTTTCATCTCCTCCTTGTCCTGGGCCAGCATGCTGATGTACTGCTCCTTCTCCTGGTGTTTCTGCTTCATGATGGCCCGCTGACTCTGGTACAGAGCTATGTACTCCCCTGGAAGACAGACGGAGAATGTACAGTGTTGTAAATTAGTACAGTGATGAAGACTTTTCTAGCTTTCTGACAAAGTATTGCACCTCAACTAAAAATATCCCACTGTCTCACCTATAGTGTCGGTCTCTCCAGACAGCTGGATGCAGCGGTGCTCCAGCTCCTCCACCCTCTCCTTCAGGTCAGCTTTCTCCCTCATGAGGGAGGAGAAACGCTGCTGAAGCTTCTCCATGGCATTTTGCAGGGCCTGATGAACTTCCACCGGTACTCCTCCTTCTGGGAAGAGGACAGTATACAGTGGATTAGGATAATGCACTCAAGATCGTTTTTATCCCAGGACACGTATTCTTGGCTTTTTCCATTGTAAAAACATTTGCATGCTTACACACCAACAAACCATCTGGTCTTCCTCACCTGAATGCTCGTGACTGTGTTCACAGTCACCATGTTGGCCCTCGGTGTGATCGTGCTCGTGATGGTCGTCATAACCGGGTGTGTAGCTGTGGTGTTGGTGCTCTAGGCTGAGGGCCAGAGCGGCCTGGTGCCTGGCTGCCATGTGGAGCCTGTGTTCCTCCTCCAGCTGCCTTCTGGCCTCGTCCCTCTCCGCCTGCAGCTGAGCCAAAGCTCCACAGATAAACTCCTCCTGTCGGGGGAGAAAGGGTGGTGTTGAGGACGGTGCAAGGGAGCGGCTCAATAAGAAGAAAGAAAAGCTTTTGCCTCATATGTAGTTAAAACATTAATCATTGAGGTTTCAAAGTCACTTGTGTATTTGTTTTTTTTCTGGATCAAAATAATGAATAAATTATTCAAACTGGCATGGCACCAGATGTATCATGCAAGTGTCAACTTCAAACTTGATTGAGGCTTCCATAATGTGTAATAAAGCAAAGGAAATCCTTTTAGAATATCTTCACAAGTAGTTTTTTTGTGAAGAACATTCATCACCATCCTCACCATCTCCTTCTGGCTCTCAAAGTCCTCTGGGATAACTATGGAGGATTTCTCCGGGCTCTCTGGCAGTGACTGGCTCTCCACTCCGTCGCCTAAGTGACATAGTGAGATAGTGACAAGAATTAAATCCAACAATGGCAGTAGAAGACAAAGATACCAACATACCAGTAAGAAACAAACCTTACCTTGGTCTCTGGATGATGAGACAAGAGTTGAGCTGTTGAGCAGCTCCTTCACCTCAGCCTTCAGGTGCTCGTTGTCTTTGACTAACATTTCCAAATGCTCCTGTAGGGGGAGACAGAGAGTCATTCAAAACAAACTTAGGCTACAGCCACACTAATACGTTTCCGTTTAAAACCGGGGTTTCAAAAAGGAAACGATCTATGTCCACATTGTTTTCATAATGATTTCCGTCCGTTAATCCAGACCTTTTAAAGCGTACTCAACATATATTTCAGAGTTCTTAATTCATCGGCAATGGTCACGTGAACATGGCCTCCTTCCTGAAATACACACCTGCGCTTGCTTGAGCTGATTGTGACTGATCTCCAGTTGCACACGGCCCTGGCTTTCATCGTGCTGCAGCCGGTCCATGAGCTGGATCTGCTGCAGGTACTGGTGGTTGATCTGTTCCCTCTCTGAGGCCAGGGTCTGGTAGCCCGCAGAGTACTGCTGCAGGTGGGCCACGACCTGGTCCCTCTGCTCCATCAGACCCTGGGTGTCCCTACTTTTCAGTTCCAGCTAGTGCAAAGGGAACAAAGAGGAAAATGAATACCAGGAGGAAGCAGAAAACTGCATCCTTCTATCCTGAAAATCCACCAGCAGAATTGGGTTTGTCATCGATAGTGTTTTGTGTTCAGCCATACCTGCTCCTTGACGTCGTGCAGCTCCTCTTGCAGTTCACCCATTCTGCGAGCCAGCTCCTTTTTCACATGTTGCTCTGACTGGATGGCAGTGGTCAGCTCCATGTTCTCATTAGTCTGTACAAATAAAAAGGAGTCACCCTCTGAGCCAATACTTGCTATGAATGTACTTTTACTAATATGTGAAACCTTTGTCAAGTTTTTGTTACAGATGGACAGCTAGATTTCCAGCCTCACCAGTTTGACAAAACCGTTCTGGAGCTCAGCCAGCTGGTCCTTCAGTGTCCGGTTCTGGGTGAGAGCACGGCTAATGGTGGCCTTGTCTGACTGAACGTCCTCCAACATGCGCCGGCGGTCGTCTCCGTCCTCGACTTGTCTCTCCACCTGCTGCTCCATCTCCCCCAGACGCGACTCCTGCTCTACACACATGCGGCTCAGCTGCTCGTTATCCCGTAGCTGGGGGAAATATTAGAGGCCGATTATAGAAACTAAAATTCTATAAGAATCAAAGACATTAACTACATATTAGCCGATACAGGACTGCTCAACCATGTGTGAATGTGATTCGTACCTGCGCGTGGTACTGTGCGATAAGAGCGTCTTTCTCCTGATGTAGAGTGTTGAGGGCCTCCTGCAGAGCCACCTCACTCTCTGATGGCCCCGAGGACTGAGGCTCTGCGTTATCCAGGGCCTCTCTCTCCTGGGACAACAACACTGGAGGAGGAGGAGGAGGAGGAGAAGACGGATGGCAATTATCAGGTTTAATCATTTTGGGAAGGAAGAAGCACAACATCTGTGAGCCTCGTACCTGCAGCATTTTTTAGGTCTGTGATGCTGGCTTCCAGTTCCTGGACACGGCTAATGTTTCGGTCCCTCTCCTCTGCCACCAAAGACACCTGCGCATACATCAATTAATCATTTGTTCAAAACCAAAATAATAATCAAACAACAAGAAAGAACATCCAGATTTCTTTACGTCCATGCTGATGTCACTGTATAGCTCACCTGCGTTAGCAGCTGTTCTGTTTTGTCCTTCCATACACGACCCTCCTCCTGGATCTGCTCTGCATAGCAGTCCCTCTCCGTCTGCAGCTGGCCAATTGACTCCATCAGCTACAACAACATAAAGCAGGGAACGGTGTTAACGAGACAATAATAAAGGTGGATGACTTCTCATGGGTCAGTTGATGCCAATGCAAACAGGAAAGGTACTAAAGAGCCACACACTTTAGAACGATATATCAACACACTTTGAACCAACTCAAAACGTTTTAGATGAAGATCCACATGTGGCAGTAGCAGGACACACATGCAGATAACTGGAAGACAAAAGGTACACAGACCTGGTGATTATGTTCCTCCAGCTGCTGCTTCTCTCCCAGCAGTAACTGGACCTGCTGGTTGGCACTGGTGGGATCTGACTGACTGGAGCACTAGAGGGGAAAAAAAAAAAAAAAAAAAAAGGACAAATATTGGAGTGAAATGCAGGTAAATGCATGAAAAAAAAACATCACATATATCTGCTAACAAACATTTAGGGCTTGAGAAATAATCCAATTATTTTGTAAGAGGAAGATCAGCATAGATGTGATGTACTGTCAGATGTGCCCGAGTCTCAATGCACCTGTTGCAACATGAGGTCAGTTATCTCGAGTCTCTTGCGAAGATCTTCCACCTCCAGCCTCATCGCTCCGTTCTCCCGTGTGCTCAGCTTTATCCGCTCCGACAGCTCCGAGTTCTGCTGCTTCGACTCCTCACTCACATTACTGCGAACACACAGACATGCAGAGGTTGTTCATTTTACCTACTAGGTTTAAACAGGACTTTGGAGAATCGTGTGTGCCATCTGTTGGGCTGTAAATAATTTGATGGACTCTAAATGTCATTCAACATCTGCTGTGGAAATGTTACGAAATACGTCTCCTTGTGTATTCTCGGGCAAAGTGACTTACTTGAGTCTAAACACCTCTAGCCTCAGGCTGTCTCGCTCCTTTTCAAACTCTTTGTTGTGCTGGAGACAAAAAGGAAAATGTATTAAAAATAACAAACACACACATGACACAGACATTCAAAATAGAGGAATATGCTTTTGTATGTGGCTGTTCTACAATCACGCAGCTCATTGAGAGTTACTTAAGTTTGTCATATATTGTATCTGGATGAAACTTTACCTTTTCAAACTGTTTCTGCTGTGTTGAGACAGAGGAGAGAGTTCTCTCCAGCTCCGACACTCTCTGCTTTGTTGCCTGCAGACGGTTATTCAACTCATCTGCTTCAGCTACACACACAGACACACACATACAAACTGTTAAAAAAACGTTTCGTTCAAGTGAATGTACGGCCGATTATAAAACACACACACACACACACACACACACACACACACACACACACACACA